GAGGAAGAGGAGGAGGAAGAGGAGGAGGAAGAGGAGGAAGATGGTATTTCAAGTGTGATAGCATTACTTGGGGACGCCCTTTCGATTGGATCAAATTTTCAACTTTAAAATCAAATTTCATCCTACATATTTAATGCAAGCATTTATTTTGATTCTGGAATTTTGATTAAAGTAAAAATTTAGATATTAGCAAAAAGTATTGGTAACAAAATTAAAGTAATTTTAACAGAATGAGAGAATTACTTTAGTGATATCGAGTTCTTTTCAATTTAGATTTGAGTAAGTTTTGGATTTTGTCAAGTCTCCCATATTGAATGTTCTGTATTAAAGGAAACAGTTGAAACTTATTTTAAGTGTCGAAAATTTATGCGAACAATGCATGTTTCAAGTAATTCTGCAAACAGAATCATTTACTTTAATAAGTCAAAATTGTTTAGCCCAAGTTTATACTTTAAAAAATAGTGAAATTTCAATCCTATGTAATAAAAATCATATTTGAAATAATCATCGAAATTCTGACTTATTAAAGGGTTGATTTTGTTAATGAGTATAATACAAATCTTTGAAAGAGCCATATGCGATTGGTAATTACATTGCTTAAAAGAAATCGTATTTTATATCTGGACAGTCAAGCTAAGAAAAATCATTTATTTTAATAAAGATTAAGAAAATAGTATATCATTAAAGTTTTTACATTTAACATGTAGGAAGGGGGAATTCCTTATTGATAAACTATGCTTTGTGAAGTCCTTTTTCATCATAATTTCAGATTATACCAGTAAAGAACGATATTTGGATCGAATTAACAAAATTGCTGTAAGAATGCAACTGTAATCTGACAGCAATAACAGTCACGATAATCGTTAAAAGTAAGGATTCAAAAATCTCTAAAATCCACATTTCATGTCAGGGAATTAAGCGCAAATTACAACGTTGGTCACCATTCGACGTGGCTGATGAATCTCACTTCTTCCTCTGCAACAGGTTAGTTTTCATTATGTATTTTGCGCGAATTCCGAATCACATTATGAAGATATGCTGAAAGATAAAAATATATAAAAGCTAAAATTAATCTTCCAAAGTTAGCCTCAAATTCAAATCCTAAGCAGTAATTTTTCTACGGGAGCATATTAAACAAAAACGATTGAAAGTATCATTGGGATAAGGATTAATGGATTCTATAAATATGATGACATTGATGTATAGGTTGAACCCAGCCATATCGCGTTCGTTATTTGAAAGTTCCTTATTTTTTTTCGAGGTTAAGAACTGCTTCATAGTTTAATGTATTTTAATTCTTTTAAAATTTTTATTCTTTACATATTTTGGGCTTTATCTTATCCGTCTGACTGATATTTTAACTCAGTAAAGTGTATGCAAATACCAACCAGATGAATAGGATAAAACGTAAATTTTCAAATTTGCAAATTGTAAGTTACTTTCTATACTACATGTTACAAGAATGAATAATTAATTATAAAATTTATCGAAGTCAGAAACATTCCCGCAACTAAATTTAATTTTAAAACTGGAAGTACATTAAGGTATTTGTTTTTAAATGCATTCAAACTTTTACAGGCCAGCAGTAGGATGCAAAATTTTGAAATCAAAACCATTTACAATCTATCCATAAGCTTATAGAAATATGAACTATATCATAGAAGTGTAATATGAATAATAATTTTAGACAGAGTATCACTGTATTCGCAGGAGGAATCAACTCCATCATCCGCAACGACAGCATCCACCTCTGCGATACCAACAGGTTCCTCATCTGCAGCATCAGCAACATCCTCTTTACCGTCCTCAGGTTCAAAGCACATTAAATGTGCTATCAATTTAGCCGCAATCACTAACCAGCAAACAGTTGCCACCTCTACTAAGATGTATTCGCTACAGCATCAAACTTCCTTACAGCCTAACGGCAGCGCTACGAATGGTAAGTTATTTGATAGCATAATAATGTTTTGATATAAGTTGAACAAAACATCTCCGAGTTTTTCCATTGTCATAATATTTCTGCAACTTTAACCCATAGAATCCGTAAATCAGCGATCAGATATTAAGTACATGCACAATACTACGATGTGTTATTAGGCTTAATTACAAGAATCTAAGCTTTGTGGTAAAGTAGAATTTAAACATCCCATTGTAGCGAGAAGTCAAAGTCGTTCAACAGAAGGTTCGGGATCCGGTGGTTTAACACCGTCGAATTCATCACAACAATCCGGTAGCACACAACCCTCACAGCAAACTCATCAGATGCAACCAATGGGACAGTTAGGTGTAGCATTGCAGCAAGCAACCGGAATAGAAGCTCCACCAGCGAGTTTCACCTTTAACAACTCTGGTTAACTGTTTCACATTTTAATTATCTATATATGCCCTTCCTTTAATCATAACACTATAGATGTATAAAAAATCTCCATCACTAATAAAAGTTAGAAAATGATCTGGAGATTAGAAAACAGTCTAAAGATTAGAAAGCAATCTAAAGGTTCTGGATCAAGAGATCGAAGAGGTGTGATACCTATTACATGACAGATTTTTGGAAAATAATACACAAGCAACACCAATACCAGTGATAGGATTTCTGTTATGTTATAAAAATTTTGAAAAGCTCAAATTGCGGAAATGCGAGAAATTAAACTGTAAAAATTCTCCTACTCATTACATTATCAGATGCAAGCGGAATTGATGGGCCTATCTCGATTTCTAGCTGCTAATGTTCATTAGTGTTCAAAACCACATGTTTACTGAAATTTCCAGATCTGTTTTCATCCTTTCCAACCAACCACAACTTACTGCAATATCAGATGCGACCGGAGTTGATGGGCCTACCTGGATTTCGAGCTGCTAATGGTTCATCTGTGAACGCGGTTCGATTTGTTTTATTTTACTTATACCATGAGACAGACAGATTAAACTGTACCAAAGTCATCCTACATAACTGATACAAAATAATGGGTTAATAGTTTCAGGGGATTAGAATTGTGATACACAATTTTGATTCTCCATCATAATAATTCGTATTTTGAAGTAAGAAATTCCTCAAGTTTCTTATTGATTTTAAAAATTTACAAAAAAATCCTCTCGAACCACTATTCTCGAAAATATAACAGCGATACAGCAAAGAATATGCTTAATATAATATTATAATATTCATTTTCATATGTACGAATATTTTTATCTAAATTAACTCTTACAGGAAAACAGTAAACTCTTACGAACTATAAAGGCTTTGGAAGCTAAAAAAGTCGTTGATACTAATAGTAAAAAAAATAATGGAACCTGGATTTTTCAGTTATTTCGCATCAATCCCAAAAGTATTATTAGAATAAAAGTAACATTTATCGAAGTTATTCATGAGATTCGAGAAACTAAGAAACTAGGATATTGAGTCCAGTAATTTCTTACATAGATCACAATTAAAATTAATATTGACATCACTGTTCTTGCAGAAGTCCATTTGAAAACAAATTCGACCACTAATTTATGAAAAATAATTTCTTTGTATATCATTAACATGCATATTAGCATATCCTATTTTCATCTTTTTGGAAATCAGAAATTATTGTCTCAGCTCTGAGTGGAAATTCCAAGGGTACAAATAACGCTAATTAGATGTTATATTCTGAGAGATTTCTACGAATGAAATCATAAAATATAATTTGAATTTCATTTTAATATTGAACTCAAATTCAGCATCATAATGAAAGGTAAAAAATAAAGATCAAACCATTCACATTTTTTAAATTTTAAAAAGGAAGAAGCAAAGGATGAGAAGTTGACGTGTGACAATATGACAATAGCAGCTTAGAAGGAATTGTTGAGGACACGAAATGAAATGAAATATGTCGAAGAGAACAATGACGCCTTCTATCTATCGCTTGGATTCGATGATAAGTACACGGCTGCGTAATCCCATCCACTTGTATGTGTGTTTGTGTGTGCGTGCTTTTGTATGTGTATGTGCGTGTATGCGTATGTGTGTGTATATGTGTATGTGTGTATATGTGTATATGTGTGTGTGTTCGTGTGAAGCTTGCACCACCTCGTGCCACTTCTACAGACGATTTTGAAAATAAGTAAGCATTTTTTAAAAAAAAGATGGGAACAGAAAAGAGTGGTACTTATTGTTTAACAAATATATGCATCTCCCTTTCTCCTCTCTTTCTCGCTCTCTCTGATACCTCACAAGGGTTTCCCGAGAAAAAAACCTGACCACAAAATATGGGTTCATCGAATATGGCATTTTGCCAAGATGTACTTGTCAACCTGCCGACTGGTACTGATGTTGTGGATGGCGGTGATGAGATGGGTCCCCCTCCCTCAGTCTTTGAATTTTTTGAAATTTTTTTGTAATATAATGCAACATATCTTCTAAGGAGGCTCGAATCTTTTTCCTCCACCCTCTTCTACCCATCATCGATTGATACAACCTCGTAGCTGTCACTCATTTCTTCTGATGCTTTTTTTTCTTCCCTGCTATCTCTTCTCTTTGTCAGTCTTCCCTTCCCGAAAATATGAGCAAGCGAACCTGTGCAGGACCAGTTCGAACTTCCTCCTCATCACATTGAACCACTTTTTTTTTAATCTCGCAATACTCCCATCCTCATTTATTTTTAACTTTTTCCGTACTTTTCCTTGCTTTTCTTCTATACAATTACATTTTTCCTGATACTTTCTTCTCCGTGCCACATATTGTTTCAATTTTTTTATGAAAAAAAGGGAAAAATGAGATTTTTGACAAACACTTGTCATATTTGAGTTTTGCATACTCTGTCTCCAAAATGAGTAGTCTCGGAAGCAGTCATACATACTTAGGATATCCCGACTGTGGCCCCGATTCGGTAGAGAGAGGAAAAGATGGTACATACAACTTTTCCATGGTATCAGTTAATTACCTTATTGTGAATTCTATATTTGTGTGGTTATCTTTGAATTGAGTAATTTTGTCCAAATCAAAACACCAAGTGATTTTTTTTAATGAGACTATAAATGCTAATAAAAAGAACATTTGTGAGAATAGTCGTTACAAACTTCAAAGATTAGCAAAAAGTTGAAGAATTGCAGAACGACAAGAATAAGGAAATAAAGGGAAGTAACGTTGACTGTGAAAATATTGCAAACGGATAAGTTACTTGAATGCAAACTTAATGTGAATACGTGAATAATGAGTTGACTTCAATTAATACTTACAAGCAGAAATAGACAGTTCATAAAATTCGTGATGGCGAAACATTGATTTAAATGATTTCTCAATTATCATAAAAAGAGTTTCATTTCAAAGAACGAAAAGAGAGGAAAAAACTCAACAATCAATTATCTCAAAATAAAAAAATGTGAAACGGGAGGAGTAAATGAAAAAATATTTCCTAATCGTCGTCCTTTGCTGATCTTTTTTTTGTGTATTTATATTTTGTTTGTACCAAATGGAATAATTCGATTCAACTTTTTCAATGAATTTTTGCAGATGATCTGCATTAATCTTTAAAACAAACCGTTAATTATTTATTTTCAAAAAAAAGACTTATATTTGCATTAGTCAAAAAGAAAATTCGTATAATGCGTAAGTAATTCAAATTGTGCAGTTTTTCTTTTTTAAATTTACAATCCTTCCTTTTGTTAATTATTGATTTGAAGCATAGAAAGAAATGATATTTTATTGAAATTAATGCATTTCGCTTCTCTTTGCTTTATTAAACTTAAATCTTATTCAAATAATTGGAAACAATAACATAACCGGAGAATTTGTATAGTTTTTAATTAACTTCATATGAACATAATATTTCTTTCACTGTTGTGATAATTGCGCTTCAGAAAGAGGCGGACATCAGTCTTCCAACGAGCATCATTTTAAAACAGTTAAGTTGTAGATGAAACTATTTCATTTTTATTCCTACGAAACACCAGAAGAGCAATACATTAAGGAGAGAGTTGTGAACTTCTCTTCAAAATATTCTCTTCATAATCTTTGTTACACTATTTTTTAATAACATCACTCGATTTACTTATCCAACGAAATTTAGTAAGCTAGGAAGAAAGAGTAATGAGAGAATTCAAATGTACTTACCAGACAACAAATCATCAGACTAGCAGAAATGTCAAATAATATCAGAAAGTCATTAAACAGGTTTTTGCGCTTTGCTTGGATAAAATGATTACGTTGGAAGAAATAACGACTTTTCCGTTTGTGTGCATAAAATGGATGAAATGTTTAAAAGTGCAAAAGCCCTAAAGGCTATTTCAGATGATTTCATTTTTGCTTCAATTTGTTGGACTAGCCATGACATTGCAGCTTAATTTTGAAGGAAAAAAAATAAATTCTTATTACTCGCTTTTCATATCATTAAGGCAAGATATTAATTTTTTCAAAACTTCAAAACCCAAAAAATTTTGGGAATTAATTTTCAGATCTTGGAATTCATTTGTACTACTAGAGCTTTAAAATAAGTTCTAGAATTAACAATGCTGTAGCAAAAGTTGCAGATTTCTAAGTAAGATATGATATTTGATGCTTTGATAATAATGAAACGCAAGATACTAAGGACAAGCAGTGTTGCGTGCTAGGAATAGCCAGCATTTATTTGATCTTTTTTAAATTTTTTTTATAATTTTTAAGTTTAAAATTATAACTGTATGTCTATCCACCAAAATGTTTAGACAAGTATGCTTGTCTACATAAATTATACTTATTGCAATCTTGTTTTCTGTTTCCTAAGAATAGCTTTTCATCTGCAAATCATTAAATGAAAACTGTAAATTACAGTAACAATTAAAAAGTATTGGGTACCCTCACCTATCACACACCAAAAAAGGGTTGTTTAATGAGGAATGAGCAGGAAGGAAGAGAGAAAAAAGTTGTGGAAAAGGTATGAGCGCAACAATTTTTCATCCTTATCGCTATTGAAAGTGTGTCATTTCCTTCGCTTACTGATTGGCGATATTTTTCGTTGGTGTTTCTATCTGTCCGTATATAGAAAGTTCATTGCTTTTCATGTATGTCTGTTCATTGAAATGTGTTTGCAAGTAAATTTTTCTTTTTAAATACAAAGATCTTTTTATAAATTGCTGTAACAAAAATTTTTGTAACTATACTACCTTTAATTTTATTGAAAAAGTTTGAAAAACTGGTTCGTTTCTTGTCGTTATGTCTTTGTTACTTCATGTCGTCGTTACACACTTTTTTGTTACGATTATAACCAAAAACTCACATTTACAAAAAATTTTATTTTTGAAATCCATCCTTTTTTGGGCACAATGAAAAAGCAATTGCGGTTTCTTTGTTTCAGATGACCATTGTTTTCCGGTATCCCCGGAGGCTATTTTGGGAGGAGTGAAATAACGGTATTTGCCTTGCATTAGTGTTTTCAGAAGCACTAAAACAATTATTCTGAACACGAAAATTTCCATTAAAATCACAGTTAATTAAATTCTACCCAACAGATTTGTCCATTTCTTTATTACCAGCTATATTGGAAAAAAAAGACAAATACTTCTGAATCTTTTTAACAAAACAATATTTTGTTACAAGAATTTGAGAACCGGAAGCAAATTTTCTCCTTATTTCTTTCTTTTTTAATTTTTGTTGTACATTTTGTAAAGCTTAGCTATAAAAAAAGTGGGTAGTTATTTTAGCAGCGGATAATTACTCAGTTAGAGGCACTGTTATCATTGTTATCAACATGTACACTGAAGCTATGAGAAGTTTGCTTAACACATCTCCGTTCTTCGTCAAAGCAAACTTAATCATGAATTTTCTGATGGCATTGAGAAGACATTGGGAAGTGCACATGTGTGATGATAGTTTTTATAGGGCACATAATTGGAAATTAGTATCCCTCCTCTGCTGCTTCTGATTCAGTTTGTTGTCTCCTTTCTCCCACCCTCCCGGCCTCTGAAATGATTCACAGTTGGACCATTGCTGGATGTGGTTGTCGCAAATGATCGTCGGATGCTTTATTCTGAGGGGAAAATCGCCGATCTTCTTAACTGTTCATTATCATTACTGTTTTTGGCCAAAACAGTAACGTTATTTTTATTGAGCATTCGTATAACTTTACTGTATCACTTATCATTATTACCACTAACGTCAGAATCACAAACGAACAACACTATCAATATCATAACTATTATTCTCATTATTATTATCGTCATCATTACCACTATCATCAATATTATCAACTGCTTTTTCAACTGTCAATAAAATCATCAGAGGTCAAACTGTATGCTTTACATGGCCACAAAGGAAGGGAAATAGCATTCTACCATACGGGACTTTACTACCGGTAGATGAAGCAGAATGAGGCCGAAAATGAAGTGAATTCTTGACTGTATCAGGGCCACTGGTCCCATATTTCAACAGTTTACTTCTGCCTTTATTAGTAATGATTGTTT